GATTTACATTACAGAGTTTCAGACTGTGATACTCAATTCACCTTGCACTATTTGAGGTCTATTCAGAGTTAGTTTGGTAGCCAGGTTGAGGTCAATACAACTTTTCACCTTCAAACCAATGGTTTGTCTGAGAGGACTATTCAAGTTTTAGAAAATATGCTACGGGCTTGTGTTATTGATTTCGGTGGTGATTGGGATCAATATTTGGCCTTGGAATAATTTTCATATAATAATCGCTGCCATTCAAGTATCCAGGTGTCCCCTTTCGAGGCATTATATGGTATAAGGTGTCATTCTTCGGTGCGATGGTTTGATGATTTTGAGGTTATACCTTGGGGCACTGACTTATATAGAGTTATATGGATAATGTACATATGACCTATGAGTGACTCAACACTACCTAGAGTAGATAGAAAAGCTATGCTAATCGGAGGTTGTGGCCTTTTGATTTCATGGTTTGTGATCGAGTATTTCTGTGAGTATCGCCAATGAAGGGTGTGATGAGATTATAAAAGAGGGGCGAGGATAGCCCCATGATCATCAACACTTTTGAGATTTTGAGGTAGGTAGGAGAGATGGCTTATGAGATAGCCTTACCTCTAATTCTTTTGTGTGCTCGTTCAGTGTTTCATGTCTCAATGTTGAGATGGTATGTTCTCGATGACTCTCATGTACTTCAGTGTAATTCGGTTTCGCTTGATGAGTCCTTGAGTTTTGAGGAGAATTATACGGCCATTCTATATTGGTAGGTTAAGAGGTTTCGATCTAAGGATATCTTATTAGTAAAAGTTCAGTGGAGGCATTGTCAAATCGAGAAGGCTAATTGTGAGTCCTAACATGATATGCAGACCTGATATCCCTATCTTTTCAAGCCTTTAGGTGCTTCCTTTGTTTCCCATTCATAGATGAATATCACTTTAGTAGTGGAGGCTGAAATGACCCGTGAGGTCATTTCTGTGCTTTTTCGTGCTTATACTATTTTGTTCCTTCCCATAGCTTCCGCATAGCTTTTGTGTCGTGTTGGGCTGGGTGTCACACTTTCCTACTTTCCTAGGTGATTAGTTCAGATTGGAGAAAGTTTTTAGTTGTTAAGGATTAATGCTTATGATATTGAGAAATTACTTTAAAAAAAACAACCAATATTTCATAGTCAAAACTAATCAATTACCATATTCTTTAGTTTGAGCGTTTAATTATTCAAAGTTGTGTTAGAAAATTTTATAAAATACAGAGAGAGTGTGATCTTTAAAGTAATGAATATTTAGGGATTTCGACTTAATGTTTTGATAGTTGGGCTAAAATTTAAGTGTTAGGCTTCCGAAAATAGTAAAATTAAAGACTTAAGTTGATTAAAATATATCAATATACTTATATTTTATTTATAAATAATTATAAAATTTATATATATAACTTCTCGGTTTGGTTTGGTTATTTTTGCAGTTAATATTTAGTAAAACCAAAACCAAACCAAATAAAATCGGTTATTCAAAATTTAAAACCAAATCAAACCAAATATCAGCTTTATTTAATCGGTTTGGTTTGGATGGCGATTTGGTTTGGTTTTATAACCATAACCATGAACAACCCTACCATCAACTATTGAAGGGTCATTTTTGTCTAGTGTGATGCTCGGTTTGGGCTTCGAGACATTTATTTGGAGTTAGTGGGATTAGCCATTATAGTTTTTGAGGTTTACCCAAAGTTTGACTTCGATCAACTTTCTTGGTAAATACATTCAAAATAGAATAACATTAGTGTGGTTAACATTGGAATGCCAAGTTTGGTCAATAATGACATTTGGTTTGGTTCCCGAGGGTATCACGATAACTTGGTGGCTTTTAGCGTTTTCTTGGTGTTTCTTTGTGAAGTGTTGACATTAGTCAATATTTTGACAAGATAACCTCTATTGATTGTTTCATTTATTCCATTTAGTATGGGATATCTTTTCGAACTGATATGCATTTTTGCTTTGCATCATTTGGACCTCCAATAAATTCCAAGGGTTTTTTTGAAGTTTGGAGCTCATAGCTAAAATTTGGTGGATGTGGCATCTCGTGCAATCACTTTTACCGACCCTTGATCTCTTAAGAGAAAGTCTCTATATCTACCAAGGGGTCACTTAAACAAAGGGTCACCAGTAGGCGGGGATCGCTTAAGCGACTAGCTAGCTTCTTTAGCAAAGATTGCTTTTGTGACCATGGAGCCGCTTAAGTGACATGCACCTCTTAGGCGAGGGTCGCGCTTGCGACCCTTTGACGACTTAAGCGATGACTGCTTAAACAGCCAAATAGCCTCTTTTTCAAAAGTAGTTGGGAATAAAATCCCTTTATTCTTCATTTCTTCAAAGAAAAAAAGCCCAAGTGAGTGGAGCTCGGCCAAGGGAGATTTTACTCACTTCTTGACCAATTTAAGTGATTCAACGGTTTTCCAATTCATTTCCATTTTTAGCCTCATACTCCTTCGTTTATAATCTTTAAATTTTGGTAATTAGACCATTTGGGGTTGGAATTGAACTCAGTTTTGGCCCATCTTTCAGAATTGTGATCCTCATTATTAGCAGAACATAATGATTGTTTTAGTTTCAGAATTCTCTAACATCGTTCAAGGATCAATTTTCGACGTGCTTTTCGGTTTGAATTTAATTTTGATGAAATGAGTAACAATAGTGCCATATTGATTTTGTTGTTCTGTTCTTGATAGCTTGGAAGCTGTCAGAGGATCTCCGGAAGGGATAAGCACCCGAATTATAGTTCGTGTGCGGTTTCGGCCTCAAAGTAGGTGACAATTTATTTTTTCTTCGACTTGGATTTTTTAGAATAAATGTATTCTGAGTATTATTTCATGATTAAGTTTGCGTATAGGACTAGTGTAGGCTATATGAACTTAGTTGACTTATTGCCCTTATTGGGTTGCTTAGTATAGTTTTAGCCAGAAAAGCCTTAGTGTAGGTTGATCCTTGTGTTTATATAGAATAGTATCTATAGAAATTGCTCGTAGGTGGCGTGAAACTTAGGTTACCGTGTGTTTCACTTTGTTTGAGTTGTTGGTTGTTTATGGCACTTTTTGAGCTTTTATTCTTAATTAATTTATTATTTTGCCCAAGGTCGTGAGCTTGGACAAGCTAGAGTCTCTTGTTAATAAGTCTGCCTGGACAGGAGTTTCTCGAGTATGTGCTGGTTTGTTGTGATTTTGCATGAACTTATGGATTTTGTGATGGTTTGTGAAGGTGTTGATTATCTTGAAGACAAAAAAGAAATTTTGTTCCCAATGATTTGGTAGTCCTTGGGACCTGTTATGACCGAAAATGGTAAAATGACTTATATACTTGATTGTCCTACTTTCGACTACTTTTACTCTGATAAGCTCGACGTATCATTCTAGGCGGCTCGTTGGCTTAGGGGCTGCTACATTCTATCATTTATACATGTTGATAAGCTCGATGTATCATCCCCAAAACATATATCCAGGTTATTGGGTCTTTATGGTTATATTTGAGGCATTATTCCGAGAGGCTCGATGTTTCTTCTAGTTTATTTCTTATTTCACTTAGTCACTTACATTTGTATTATTGTGTGCTTTTGCCTCTGAGTATGTTTGGGTTTCCTTGTATTTGTGTTTAGCTGTGAGTGAATTCTTGTAAAATGCTTGCTTGTTCCCCCTAGTATGATTATAGTATCTTAGAATTTTTTATCCTTTGACTTATTAGTATCATCAATTCATCATGCTTCTTTTTATACGTTTGATTTTGCTAAGATTGGTCAGCTTATGATGCCGATTGAGTACCCCGTGTTTGGTAGTCATACTAAACTTTTGCATCTTTTTCTAATGTAGCTCCTGTACAAGCCACCCTATTTGGGCGTTGATCTTTTTTTTCCATCACAGACTTGGATCGTTTTAAGCTCTTGTCGTTTAGAGACTTGATGTTTTTCCTCTTTTGTACCTGTATTTTGTATTATTAATAAGTCAATTCTCTTGTACTTAGTAGCTCCTGTATAGGTTACACCAGACCAAAGGTTGGTTTTGTGTTTGTTGGTCATCTAGATAACCTTTGGGTCTTTATTGTATATTTTGTATCATATTTAATATTTATGACATGGACCATTTCCTATATTCTATTTCTATTTTTTTTTATTTCTATTTAAACTATTATATGTTGCATCTTCTATTTGTTTAGGCTTGCCGCTTGCCTACTTGGGGTTTGTAGTAGGCGCCATCACGAACAAATTTGGGGTCATCACAGAAAAATTATATTAATGTTGACTAATAGAAGTGATGATACATTTTAGTTGAATTTTAATTTGATTCAATCAATATTCCTTTTTGAAAATTTAAAAATGAACGTAATAATTTTGAGTCAGATAAATTGTATCTATACATGCAATTATGATTTATATATATCACTAAAATTAATTATATCATTAACTATTACATATCTTTAGTAACAATATTAATTACTGGTATTAGATGTAGACTATAAAATTTGTAACGAATTACTAGCCATTCTATACTTATCGAGTTGTTGTATAACATCTATAAAGAAGATTACTTTCATACGACAATAATTTATTGATATGTGTATGTTCACATTCAAAATATATTTGCACAACCAACATTGTGTATGTTCACAATCAAAGTATGTGATATTTAAATATTATGACTTGCGTAAGAAAATTTTATACCCATTACGTGACTATATACTACAAACTACAGTAGCTACTGCATTGATAAAAAAGATATTGTTATAAAAAGGTTATTTCTCCCTTTAAAATCAAGGATATACTTTAAGTTTCACGCAATAACATATCTCGGTAAAATTGATTTTTGCAATAAAAATAAATATTCATCATATAGTCTCTGCATTCATCCATTTTGAGGTTGTACTTTACCCTATGGTGTAAGTCATCACACACTTGATCTAATATTACGTATATGATTTTATGTAGTTTGTACGGATACATATTCATTTCTATTCCTATAAAAAAACCATAATACGAGGTCTCTACTATTGACAAGTTGCAATTTTTTGTAGAAAACCAAGAGAAGTGGGTTCTTGGCCTCTTAAAATTTGTTGTTGCATCACTAAAATAGAAGTTGTGGTACCTGAATTCATTGAGACAAGAAAGTCTCCTATAACTCCTAGTTCATTTTGAGCACTCCAATGTGTTAATCCCTGTAATAGCACAGGATTTATGCCTTGATTTCTCCCAAGTATCCAAAGATCAAAGAATTGTTCATTCTGCAATGTGTGAAGTGCTGCGATTGTATCCTCCCCATTCTTCACCACAACTTCCTTATACACAACTTTTTCATTACCTTCATTCTTCACCCAAAACCATGTTACAAGACCATCATCTAATTTCTTCTCGATCTCATTATCCCCTTCACCATTATGGGAAAGGAAACGAATAGCAGTAAGTGATACATCTGGATTTGCAGCAATTCTATCAGCATAAGAAAGCGCCTCCCTAGCATCTGATCCTCCCATAAAAAGTAGAGCAAAATTGTTAATTGATGACCGTCTACCTACATTATAATTATTACTAGTAGGGGAAGCACCCTGGTCCACATAAATCCCAACTGAGCAAGGAGCATGGTTTAAGACATTAGAGTTCACTAATTGAACCCCTTGTCTTGTTAGTACTTGAGTGCCTTTATAAAAGGGAAGTATAATAAGGGAGGCTTTCTTTTCTAGTGCCAACTTGCATATGTCTTGATACATGCTCCTCTTAGGAGAATATGATGTATACAAATTAATCGTGATATTTTCTCCACCAAAATGCTTCAATACATTATGGATTGGATTTTGATCTGTATTTACCGATTCTTGGTGATCGATAAAAATAGGGGCAGCACGACCAACTAGTTCCATTAGGTGCAAGGCATGAACCATGGAAGTCCTAGGAGCAGTTGAATTAGACACTTCAAATAGAATATTTATTATACCAAACACGTTTTCCTCGTCATGTATACAAGCTATAATGTTCAACTCAGTGTTTAAAGAAGTATGTTGAATATTTCTTCTTGTGTTAATCATATAAGGCCTCGTTGGATCATAAACTATACTGATCAATGGAGTCACAATAGATGTCACCCCAATTGTCATTAGCACTAGCATTGTGAAATATGGTCTCGTTATCATCTGCGTTAAATGAATATGAACGCAAGAAATATTACAAAGTCAAAAAAATCGAGTAGATTTAGAATTTATCTCAATATATGTATGTTGTTTGAATAAGAATGAAAGAGTAAAGAAAGAGAAGAGCACCTTCAAATCCATCCAGTGAATGAAGATCAAAAGCTCAACTTCACCTCTTAGGCTCAATACAAGGCTAAGAGCAAGACAATCTCTGAATGGCATATTAAAAAAATAGGAAGTAAAGAGGACAGTAACCATTTTAACAAGATAAGCTGTGAGAGCCATAAAAAATAGAGGCTGAAGATGTGGCCAATGAGTATAGATAGATGAAATATCAGTGAACATTCCAACATATGCAAATGAAAATGGCATGAGAATGTCCATGACAATTGTCTCTGTCTTTTCGACCAATGTAGCTCCTAATGGTGGGCCATCTGGAATGGCGAGTCCCAACCAAAGTGGTCCATTTGCCACTGCAATACCACCCAAATCACATAAGAAACCAGTAAGCAATACTCCTAAGAGTATGAAAACTACATAAATTTGCTCCACTGACTTCCCTTCCGGGGTTGCTTTTATTATCCATATCATAATCTGTCTAACACCTCCAAAAATGGATGCTCCAATCAAAAATGAATAAATGAGAAACCACAAAGCAGCCATACTTTTATGCTCCGCTTGTTTAGCTGCCTCAAATATAACAACAAATTGAATTCCAATTATATCACTTATTAAGGCAGTGGATAATGACATTCTTCCAATTTCGGAGCTAAGGAGATTAAGCTCTCTGATAATTGGATAGATAACTGGGAAAGCCGTGATTGCCAATTCTGACGTTACTCCTAACATGGATGAAGCTCTGGCTAATTCTTTTTCCATTGATTTTTGAAGAGCTAATCCAATAAAAAGACTACATAACATGGGAATGGACACCCCAAATATGGCTATGTACCATTGTTTCTTGCCAACATTCTTTATCTGTGTCAAATCTGTCTTTACACCAGATATGAAAAGGAAATACATAAAACCAATGAGTCCAATATTTTTGAGTGCATAATCAGCAGTATCCGGAAAAATAAAGTTGCGAAATCCCTTGCTTCGGCTCAAAACAGATGGGCCTACGATTATTCCACCCTTAAGATTCAAAACAAAAATCAGAAGAACTAAGTGTGTGTATATATATATATATATATAATATAATATATATATAATATACATTTTAAGTATTTGTTAAAAAATGAAAAATAATAAAGCCTACTTACTAGAAGCTCAGAAATGATTCTTGGCTGGCGGAGAGGCTTGAGAAGATAACGAATGAAATGGGAGATGGCAATGATGGTTGATATCTCTAACAAGACAAGGGAAAAAGAAAACTCCAATGGATTTTGTCCTGAAAAAATACCAAAGGTGTGGGGAGGATGGATACCTCGACATATTACTAGCCCTTTGCTATGGAGGTAAGGGTCTTCTGTCAGGTTCAACTTTGACATGATGCTCTTTTTTTTCCATTCAATTCATTAGAAAACCCTATCAATATTGCATCCTACTAATCATTGGAGATGCGTTAAAAAGGGCCAACACACTTCATTTTCATTTTTTATCTCTATGCCATTAATTTTACTAAAGTTTGTTACCTAAGCCATTTTCAACAAAATAACTACTAAATTCTGCTTACCACAAAATCTTTTTTATTTTTATAGTTTTTATAAAGAGTAATGCTAAAAAGTCTATAATATCCTTGTTTCAATTTTTGCATTTATTTTCTCAATACTTTTTCGTCTAGAATTAAAGTAACTTTTTTTCTATTTTCCAAACTCCTTGAACTACTAAAATACTAATTCTTTGGCAACCAAGGGAAATGAAAAGTATTTTTGTGTATATATTTTGTTGTGTGTATATAGTTCATTCGATTTATTCTTAAAAATAAATATTGTTCAGTTAACTAAAAAAAGATTTTACGCTTTAGTTAATATTTTATTTTTTTGTAATTTTGTTTTTATACATTAATATTTTTTTTTCAGTACTATACCATAAATATTATGTTGTACATATAGATAACCTACACTCCTTCCTCTACCCCTGCCCCAAACTCAATTGTGTTCATAATGTACCAATGCATACATTTGAAAAAGTATTTTTTTCGCTTAAAATAAATCTATTTATTGAAGAAGACAATTAAATTTCTCATTAATAATAACTAAAACTGACTACCTTATTTTACTTAATATTATAATTAATTATTTTATAATACAAATTTAGTAAAATATAGTAATAAAGGGTAGATTCAAAAAGTTTTAATTGATTTTTTCTTTAAATATAATCAACTAAATATATTATTCTACATAATGAATGTTTTTCAAGAGAAAAAGCAATGTAATTTTGGAAATTAGATGTTTATAAAAAAAGCTGATTATAAGACATTTATAACTATGTCACGAATTACACATTAATCTTCTATATTATAATCATTCCAAAAAAGAATTAACATATATTGAAATTGTAAAATTATTTCACTAATTTTGATCATGAATAAAAAAAACAACTACTCATATAATACTAATTAAGTGGATGTTTAAAAACAAACAAATAAAAGATCAATCAATACCTAATGATCAATTATAATACTTCAAAATAGATGTATTTTATGTAGGATACTTGAATTAAAATATATTTAATGTATGTAATTAATATATAACACAATCAGAATATACATTTTTTTAAAATTATTTTATTTAATATAGAATTTTCTATCAAAAGGAGAAAATTAAATTCATGTTAATAATAGATATAAGTAGATTATTCTTCAATTAAAAATTACATTAACAACTCGGTAAAACACGATTTAGTAAATTGGATTAAGTATGAATTTTCAAATTTACAATTGATTTTTCTTTATATAATCAACGAATAAAATTATATTCAATTGTACCATGATTAATAAACCGCTCATACAATGTGTGCGCTTTTCTTTTAAGAAAAAAAACAAGAATATAATTTTGAGAATTAGATATTTTAAATATCAGAAAGATATAATAAGACATTTATAACTATACCTCGAATAACATATCAAATTTTGTATATTCTAATTGTTCTAAACAAAATAATAATAATAATTAAAATTATTTCACCATTTCTAACCATGAATGCATGATTAGTTACTTCAATTATATTAATTGAGAAGATGATTCAAAGAAAATTAAAAATAAAAATAAAAATAGAAATAAAAATCATATACATACGTATGTATTGTATATGTTTATAAATATTTAAGCCCAATTTTTAATTAAATAATCAATAAAATCATATATACAATCAATAAATTCTATTAAGGCATATTTTTTAATTATTGATTGACAATATTATATTAACTATAATTATAAAGATTGAAGAGTATATTACTTAAACAATCAAATGATTACAAATACATATACAATGTATAATCATTTATTTGATATAAATTAAACAATTATTATTTAAAGTATTTAAATATATGATTTAAATTGATTTAAGTATAATAATTAATAAAATTTCTTAAGTAGAGGTTATATTAATACTTATAAATTATCATTCTCAAGTTATCAAGTAGGCCTAACACATGGACGCGAAACTCTAACATTGGTACATGATTCTCTCTGGTCTCTATTAATTATATAAATATGGTCAATACATATGAACAATATGATTATTATAATTTTTATAATGTATTCATATCCACTATGTCTAAAGTGTATTGATTTTCAAATATCGTTATTGGAATAATTTTAATAAATATAAAATAATATTTATAATGTATCAATTTCCAAACATGTTGTTTGATCTTTATAAAAATATGTGCAAATAATGTTGGATAATAATAATAATAATAATAATAATAATAATAATAATAATAATAATAATATTAATAATAATAATAATAATTATTATTATTATTATTATTATAATTATTATCATCATTATCATTATTGTTGTTGTTATTATTATTATTATTATTATTATTATTATTATTATTATTATTATTATTATAAGAAGACCCCGACTTTTGAAAAATCTAACTTAACTCGTATCTTCGTGGCAAGACGAAAAGTGATTAATATATAAGTAATGATGTGGTGTCATATTTTAAGTTCTCAAGGGTCACATCTTAATTTTTGAAGTTAAACGAGTTTAGTAATAAAAGTTGACGAAAGTTATCGAAAGTTCCTTTTTAAAGATTTCTCTAAAATTTAGTGCAAATGTCTCGTAGGTTTTCTCCCAATATAAGAAGTTAGAGGGCCCACAATATATCAAATTGAAGGCCTACGAGTCTAGTTTCGAATGTATCAAACTGTTCATTCATACAACATCGGAATATAGAGATATACACTTTTTTGTACCGATTGTGCAACAGAGGCGGCTAGTGGGTCCCCTACCTCAGTGGAACTTCATAAAAGAGCATTTTCTTCATTTTTTTCATTCCAGCTCACAAGAAACCCTGAAAAATCATAGAATCGCTCCTTAAATCATCCTTGTATGTTCATGATCTGTTCTTGGCTCATTAAGAAAAATTTTCCTACGTCGCGAGCTTGTTATTTTGGCATAGTTTTCATGGTGAATTGTGCGGTGTAGCTCCATGTAGGTTGTGGAAGCAGAGTTTTTTCAGTTGTTTCTGTTTATGCAGGTGTTATGGGCGTGCAAAGAAAGGTAGGAACCATATTTTATCCGTTTATGGATACCTTCAGTCTAGGATAGTAATTTACGACAAAAATCTGTATCGATGGTCAAATTGTCGTAGTAATTCTTGTTCTTAATTATTCATTGAGTTTACCCTTTTTTTAGTATTGTAGTGCGGACAGAGGTATTATTCATCATAAACTATAAAAAAATAAGGTATATTAAGGCCATTCCCTTCGTTCAACATGTTTTCTTAAAGCTTGCGAATGTTATAATAGAGTTTTTATTGTTGGTGATCTCGTAGATATAATTGTGAGTGGTTGGCTGATTAAGTGGTTATAAATCCTCATTTTTGGGACACATAATCTGTTAACAATGACCCTACATTAGAAACGACGTGGAGACTATTCATATATTTTTTATAACTAAATTGCTCGCCTTTATCCTATTGAATTGTTTGTTGTCACCCTTGGGGATATTGGGTGTTAGCTACTGAGCAATGAACTGCCTACGTGGTTATGATGTTTGCTAAGAGGACTGTGTTATTGCCTAAGAGGGCTATTTGTTGCCTACGGGGCTATATTGATGCCAAAAAGTGTCATGTGTTGCCTACATGTCTAATTTGATGCCAAAGAGGGCTATGTCTTGCCTACGGGGGTATATTTAGGCAAAAGAGGGCTATGTGCAGCCTACAAAGCTATGTTGTTGCCTAAGAGGGTTATGCACTGCCTACAGGGCTATATCGTTTCCTAAAAGGGCTATTTGAGTTCTTACAAAGACAAGGGGGTACCGATAGGGGTATGTATACTCATTTTGCACCTTCTGGGCTTATGGGGGCCTAGGTAGGTGGTATGTTATTTGTACCTGTCGAGCTTATGGGGCCTTGGTTACGTAGATATTTGATTATTTTTGTATTCTTAGATTGAATAGTGGGTTTGCATGCTTATCTTAATTTTGATTCCTTACTTGATTGATTTTGGTATATTATGATACTTGCTTATTTAGTCTATCGCCTTTCATAGTCGTTACATTGTTTCTTACTGACATCCTATTGCCTGGGGGACGCTGCATTTATGTTTGCAGGTCCCGATAGACAACTCGATAGACTTCCCAGCAGCCTGGTTGAGTTCTTGTAGGTTGGCTAGCCCCCTCCTCAAGAGCCGCTAGAGTTTAAAGGTTCGTTGGATTTTGTTGTGTATAGTTTTTGGGTAGGTCAGGGCCCTGTTACG